GCAGGACTTACTGATGGGCACAGGTGTCAGGGGAGATGTTCCAAGGCCTTGGGTGGGTGGGGTCTCCGTTATGAGTGACATTTCAGGATGGCCTCTTGTCTGGTGGGAATGATGTGTAGGGTGTCCTTTCCCAAAACTTCTTCCTGCAAAATAACAGTGGCAACATTTGGGAATCAGCTGTACTACTGTGTCCGCAGAGTACCTGTGACTGGTTTTATCTCCGGGCCTGTGTGGTGGGAGTTCTAACTCAGGCATTTGAGGGGCACGGTCTTGAGTCAAGGTCACAGTTCCACCAGTTAGTATTCAAATTTGAACAAACACTGAACCCGTTACCATGGTCCACGAGACCCTTTGTGATTGGCCCCTGCCCGCCTGTATGCTTTTTACTTCCCCTTTTTTGCTTTTTGCTCACGTTACAGAAGACTTCCTTCTGGGCCTGGAAAGCCAGAAGCAAAGTATGTTCCTGCCTTCTGGGCTCTACTTTGGCTGTTTGCTCTGCCTGGAACCCTGGTGCCCATACCTTTCCACGGCTGCTCCTCTTCTTGCTCAATGTCACCTGGGCAGAGAGGTCCCCTGTGACTGCCAGGCTGACATGGCCCTCCTGCTTCCTCCCTGTCTCATCGGCCCATTTGGTTTTTCTTTCTGGTAGGACACGTTAATATCATCTCATTTATGTCTTTACTTAGGTTCTATTTGTTTCTTCCTAATAGAATTTTTGCTCCATGAGAAAATGGCTCTTTTATGGCACTTAACTCCTGTGTCCCCAGCCCTTAGAATATTGCCCGGCACACAGTTGAAGTTAAATAAACACTGAATGAGCCCATGCACACAGTTGTCCTCTCTGAGCTCCAGTTTCCCCGTCTGTGGTATGGGGATCTAATACCTGGCTTGCAGGGTGATTGTGAAAATTGTGACATAATGCATGTAGCGTACTCAGTCGAGTGCCTGGTATGCAGGAAGTGCTCAGTGAGGTCACAGTTGTTATCCACCGGGTGGCCCTGGGATGACTCAGATGAGTCGCTGACCACCTCTGAGGGGATGCCCTGCTGGTGCTCCCTGGAGAAGCCCGAGTGGAGTTGCCCAGGGAGGAAGCAGTTGGTGGCAGTTCAGGACCTGCGATGTGGAGCCTCTGCTCTTGGGACTCTGACTCGGAGCTTCCTTTGCAACAGCTGCATTCTGTGTGAGGTGCATCATGGCAGGTGCCGTGTCTCTGTTGGTGGGAGTCCTGGGCCTCCAGTGGAGCATCAGATGCAGCTCTGACAGTGTCCTGTCTGGGACCTGAGTCCTTGCCCAGACCTCTCTGAGTGGAAGTTCCGTGTGTGCCATGTGTATCAGTTGGGAAAGCTTTTGGCTGCAAGTAACAGCCCAACATACAGTGTTTTGAACAAAAGGAGGTCTACGTGTCAGAGGTAATAGGTTCCTAGTATTGGTTCACCAGCAAAATGACATCAAGGCTGGTTCTCTTGGTTTTCCCTCCAGGCGTGTTGCTTCATGGTAGCAAGATGCTGCTGGGCCCCACCCAATGTGTTTATGATTAGCATAAAGGATGGAAGAAGGAAGGAAGCCATTAGTATCTTTTCTTTTATCAGGAAGGCATAATTTCCCCGGAACCCTACCAGTGCACTTCTGCTTACATCTCATTAGTAGAACTTCTTAAGGTCAGCCTTATGAGAGGCTTAGGAAAGGAGTAATTAGGTATTGCAGTGGCATGGGAAAAGGATGATGGAGATAATGGTGAGATCCACCAACAAGCAGTGCCTGCATACTAGGAAACGTGTGTGTGTGTGTGTGTGTGTGTGTGTGTTTAATTCATTTTTTTATATATCCGAGAGGAAGGGAGAGGGAGAGAGACACGGAAACATCAATGATGAGAGAGAATCATTGCTCAGCTGACTCATCAATGATGAGAGAGAATCATTGATCAGCTGCCTCCTGCACACCCCCTACTCAGGATTGAGCCCTCAACCTGGGCAGGTGCCCTTGACTGGAATCAAACCCTGGACCTTTCAGTCCGCAGGCCGATGCTCTGTCCATGAGCCAAACCAACTAGGGCAGGAAACCTATATTTTAAATTAGATCATTGGTTCTCAACTGGAGATAATTTTGTTCCCCAGAGGGCATCTAGAGGCATTTTTTTAAAGTAAGATTTTTTTTTTTCTTTTTACAGAGAGAGGAAGGGAGAGGGAGAGATAGAGAGACATCCATGTGAGAGGTATACATCGACCAGCTGCCTCCTGCACGCCCCCTGCTGGGGATTGAGCCTGCAACCCAGGCATGTTCCCTGACTGGGAATCGAACCGGCAACTTTTCGATGCAGTGGGATGATACTCAATCAACTGAGCCATACCAGCCAGGGCTAGAGACATTTTTGTTGCCACAGCTAGGGTGTGCACGTGTGTACATGTGTGTGCATGTGCACACTAATAGTATTTAGTGGATTGAGGCCAGGGATGCTGCTAGACATCCTACAATTCATAGGGTGGCCTCCACCATCTGGCCCAAATGTCAGTAGCGCCAAGCTTGAGAAGCCCAGAGTTAGACTGCTCCAGACACATTCTTCAGATTTGGGGACCATAGTTTAGATGCTTTCCCTGTTTCAGTGACTGAGAAATGGTCAAACTTCATTGTGATGATGTAGATTATTGGTGCTGGTCCGGATTTTATTAAAGAGAAGGCTGATCCTAGTTGGGGACAGCTGTGTACTGTGTGTAGAAAGTCTTACTAGAAGGCTAATGTCAAACAGAACTAATTAAGCCTTGTTGCATTTCAGGATCACAGAACAATGACATGAAAAGACAATTTCTGCTGGAGCGACTGCTGGATGCCGTGAAACAGGTAAGAGGAAAGCTCATGTTTGACCTTGAGATCAAGTAGTAGTGTTAGATAATTCATGGGGAAGTCATTTCTGTCCTTCTATATAGACAGACTTACTTACTCTCACGTGGTACCTGGGAACAGTGAGGCCAGTAGTTTCCCCCAGAAAATGAGAGAGCAGGGAAGGCGATCAGAGGTAGGGACAGAGGTGTTCCTCTCTAAAGCCCTCTGGAGACCCCATCCTTCAGGGATGTCCCTTAGAGAAGGGTGTTGATGTGGGTTTCAACTCTTATGGGTACCAACCATGGTGGTTGGGTTAGGACTTTGTGAGCATAAGAACAGAGATGAGGAGGAATGAACCATGCCCAGGATCGGTGATGTGGATCCTTCAGGTGGGCTCTGCTCTGATTGGTTAATGCTATTTTGATGCCTGGTTTTTGGCTGGGTGGGAAGTGAGCTTTGACATAAGCTGGCTTAAGTTTGCTTGTCTGCATGTACCACATGCATCATTTATTGCACATTCAACATGTGCTAGGCTCTCTGCTAAGTGCTTTACTTTTAATCCTTCCAGCCACCCTGTGAGGTAGTTCCTACAATTATTTCCATTTTGTGGCTAAAGAAACTGAAGCTCAGAAAGGCCCAATAACTTGCTTAAGGTGTCACAGTCAATAAGTAGCAAGCAGAGCTGGGATCCAGCCCTGGGAATTCTGGGTAGCTCACACTTCGGAAGGGGTGACTGACAATGATATGCATGTAATCACAGTACAGGGAGATAGGAGATAAACACTTTATTAAAGGTGTGTGTTACGTGTTGATTGTGTTAGGTGTTAGGTGAGCTCAGAGACTTCACCATCTGCCCAAACTTCGAGGTGCCCTGATACAGTGCAAACAACACAGGCTCAGGTGTAGCTGACTCAAAGGCCAGTTTCATTTCTTCCCAGCTGTGTGTGCTTGGGCAATTCATCTAGCCTCTCTGGGCATCCTCCTCTGTAATCTGCTCACTGATCTCCACAGGCCTGTTGAGCGAATTGCATTTATTAAAGTAGGGAA